CCATCCGAGTGCTCCGGTGTGGCTGTGACGATCCTGCCTCGTCCCTTCTAGGAGGGGTTGTGATCTCAATAGCTTCAGCAGCATCAGAATCATCCTCAGACTCAGACTCATCAGACGAGTCATCATTGCGTCGTACTGGCTCTCGTCCCTCTTGCCCAATTTTTCTCGCCTGGAAAGGGGTTTTTATAGGTAATTTCCCATCAACTCGGGAGTTCTCAGGAACATTAGCAAGGCGGCATATACAGGTGATAAGCGAAGGGAAGTAGTGGCCTTTGCTTAGTTCGGGCAATCGGATGGACATTTCTTTAGAGAGGACTCGGGCGACGTCAAACCCTTGGTGAGTCATGAAGCAATAGATCATAGCGGCCCGTGGCCCATTTACATCGGTGGTATTGCTGGATGGTAGCAACCGAGTTGTGATGACAGTGAGCCAACATTTGGCCTCCCAAGTAAGAGACTTGGAATGCAGAGTCATCGGTTGTGCTACCCATTTGGGCTGTCTACCAGGTATACAGATGACCTCCAGAATTCTGTCCCAGTCAACCATCGGGCAACTAGCCATGATGTAATGATCTGCACCCATGAATGCGGGGAGGCGATACACTCTGCGGATGACCTCTATAGCAGTATTAACCGGGGTGTTGCGCACAGTCACAACCTTGTCCTCGTGTTCTGGCAGGTTTGCATAGAATTCCCTTACTAGCTGAATATTTGCTTCCACGGGAGCCTCAAAGAAGATTTCAAGCTAACACCTCCGTAGCTCATCAAACATATTGGGGCATTCCCTCACCAAAGCCTTCCTGTCGATATGGACCTCATGGAGTAACTTCCTAGCAAGTTTCTGATTGTACCTTGCCTCTGTTTCTGCAGAGACGAACCAAATGCTATCAAACCGTGGTGCACTGGTTTGGCCCCTAGCTTGGGAGGAGCCTCCTGGTCCACTAGCAGAGGACCCGGTGTGTCGTCTCTTACGGGCTGAACTCATAATACCTGTCAAAATAGAGAAATACCTATTAGGATGAGCCTAAAATGTGTGACTATGGGTGGTTACTCCGACTTCACCAAAACCATATCACAACATCTCTTTATATCACCATTGAGGCAATTTCTCAAACACATTGTGGGCAAGGCATTTTCTTCATATTCATGGCCCCAAGGGAATCAAGAAAACTTTCCCAATTCAACTATCTACTATACCCACACATTCCACACTTTTTGTTAACTATCACCCACCAACAATACCATTCCAAACATTCAAAACACAGCCCCTTCACCAGACATATGCTAAAAACGAAATTACACTAAAAAGAAGAAGAAGAACTAAACAAAACAAAATCCTATCACTAATACTACATTAGAATAATATGAACTAGCATAATGCAACAAAAACAATAGAAGGAAAGGAGAAGGGGGGGTCGGAAACATACCTTGGTGGGGGAAGAAGATGAGGGGTGTTGTGAAGGAGGAAGAAGAAGAAGAGAGTATGGAGGGGAGGGTTTGGAAGGGAGGGTTAGAGAGAGAGAGAGAAGTGGGGATTTTAGGAGAGGGGGGATTGTTTATTTTGATATAGGGAAGGGTTTTAAAATTAAAAAGAAGAGTGGGAAAAAAATAAAAAAATTAAAAATTAAAATTCAGCGGACGTCGTCGCGGTTTGAGACAGAGTCTCCCGCGGTCATTGCCGCGGTCCGAGCTGCGGCCGCGGTGAAAAACCGAATCGCTTAGTGATTTCCGCGGTCGAAGCCGTTGTCCTGGCCGCGGTCGCGGCTGGCAAAAATTTTTGTTTTAATTTTTTTTACACTAAGTTACATACTACACTTACAACACATTCGTGGGTTGCCTCCCACGCAGCGCCTGATTTAACGTCGCGGCACGACGCAAGTGGTTGAGCCTTCACTCTTCATTCGCTTACTGGGGTTCTTTCAAATTGATCACCATTGTATTCCATTTTTCTTCAGCTATTCCAAGGTAATGTTTCAACTTTTGCCCATTTACTGAGAACTTGTTTGTCCCATTTTCTGGCTCAATCTCGACAGCTCCACTTGCAAACATTTGCACCACTCTAAATGGTCCTGACCATCGGGACTTTAACTTACCCGGAAACAATCTCAGCCTTGGATTATACAATAATACCTTGTCAACGGGTTTGAAATTTCTGTCCACAATGTGCTTATCATGCATCTTCTTCATTCTTTCCTTGTAGAGCCTTATGCTTTCAAAGGCTTGATATCTAAATTCTTCCAGCTCATGCAACTCTGTCAGTCGATTTTGTGCAGCTGCTTCGGGATCCATGTTCAATTGTTTCAGTGCCCACCAAGCTCGATGTTCTAGCTCCACCGGTAGGTGATAGGCCTTCCCAAATACCAACTTGTATGGTGACATACCTATTGGTGTTTTGAACGTAGTTCTATAGGCCCAGAGTGCGTCATCAATCTTCTTTGCCCAATCAGTTCGTGTGGCATTCACCGCCTTGGTTAGTACACTTTTTATCTCCCTGTTAGACACTTCAACCTGCCCACTGGTTTGTGGATGGTAAGGGTTAGCCACCTTGTGGCGTACATCATACTTTGCAAGCAATTTCTCGAAGGCTCTGTTACAGAAGTGAGTGCCTCCATCACTGATGATCTCTCTTGGTATCCCAAATCGGGTGAATATATTCTTTTTCACAAAACCTATCACCACTCTTGCATCATTAGTGGTCAACACTGCAGCTTACACCCATTTAGACACGTAATCCACAGCAACAAGTATGTATTTATTGCCAAATGAGCTGACGAAGGGGCCCATGAAGTCAATCCCCCAAACATCAAACACATCTACCTCTTGAATCGGGTTCATGGGCATCTCGTGGTGACGGGAAATGTTCCCGGTTCGCTGACATTCGTCGTAGCCCTTCACCCATAGGTGTGCATCTCTAAACACTGTTGGCCAAAAGAACCCGGCCTTTAGCACTTTCGCAGCTGTCCTGGCTCCTCCAAAATGTCCTTCATATGTTGATGCATGACAAGCCTGCAAAACAGAAGATTGTTCTATCTCGGGGACACACATCCGGATCATATTATCAACACAGATTCTAAACAAATAAGGCTCGTCCCAATAATAAATGCAACCTTGTCTTTTGGACAGATGAAATGTCATAGGGAACAATACCGCAGGCCAGGTAGTTTGCAAAATCTGCATACCATAGGGCTTCTTCAAGACTGTCTGCGAGCAGCTGCTCGTTTGGAAAGGTTTCCAGGATCTCTTCGACCTCGACTGATTTTTTAGCTCCTTCAAGTCGCGATAGATGATCAGCGACTTGATTTTCTATGCCCTTATGATCACGAATTTCGAGGTCGAATTCTTGCAACAGTAGCACCCAACGAATCAGGCACGGCTTAGACTCCTGTTTCTAAATTAGGTACTTGAGTGTTGCATGGTCAGTATATATAATTACCTTGGAACCAATCAGATATGATCGGAACTTGTCAAACGCAAACACCACCGCCAACATCTCCTTCTCCGTCACTGTGTAATTGAGTTGTGCACCGCTTAGGGTTCTGCTTGCGTAGTAAATCAGGTGCATCAGCTTATCTTTTCGCTGCCCCAAGACTGCTCCTATAGCATAGTCGTTGGCATCACACATGAGCTCAAATGGTTGCTCTAGTTAGGTGCAACAATGATGGGTGCAATGATCAATCTCTTCTTCAGTTCCTCAAATGCCAACCTGCAATCATTAGAAAACACAAAGGGCTAATACTTTTCAAGGAGTTTGCATAATGGGTTAGCAATTTTGGAAAAATCTTTTATGAAACGCCAGTAGAATCCAGCGTGTCCAAGAAAACTTCTCACCGCCTTGATTGAAGTGGGAGTTGGTAACTTCTCAATCACGTCAACCTTAGCATGGTCGACCTCAATTCCTTTACTGGACACTCGATGCCCCAGGACTATACCTTCTTGTACCATAAAATGACACTTCTCCCAGTTTAGCACTAAGTTTGTTTCCACACATCTTTTAAGCACGCTCTTTAAGTTGTGAAGATAGTCTTCGAATGAATCTCCCACCACGGAGAAATCATCCATAAAGACCTCCATAATATCCTCTACCATGTCTGTGAAGATGGCTAACATGCACCGTTGAAAAGTCGCGGGTGCATTGCAAAGCCCAAAAGGCATTCTCCGAAAGGCAATGATGCCATACGGACAGGTGAAGGATGTTTTCTCTCTATCTTCGGGGGCTATTGATATCTGATTGTACCCCGAATATCCATCCAAGAAACAGAAGTGCGATCGCCCAGCCAGCCTATCCAACATTTGGTCAATGAAAGGTAGGGGAAATGGTCCTTCCGGGTGGCTGTGTTCAATTTCCTGTAATCCATGCAGATACGCCACCCTGTGACTGTACGAGTTGAGATCAACTCGTTGTTCACATTTTTTACAACAGTCATTCCCCCTTTTTTCGGCACACATTGGACAGGGCTGACCCAATTACTATCAGAGATGGGGAAGATGATTTCCGCATCTAACCATTTGATTACTTCTTTCTTTACAACCTCTTTCATGTTTGGGTTCAGCCTTCGCTGGTGTTCCCTGGAAGGTTTGTGCCCCTCTTCCAGGAGAATCTTATGCATACAGAAGGCTGGGCTGATACCCTTTATGTCTGCCATGGTCCAGCCTATGGCAGTCTTGTTTTCCTGCAGTACATGTACGAGCCGTTCTACCTGCACATCTAACAAACCGGATGATATGATAATAGGAAAGGTCGAATCAGGGCCTAAGAACACATACCTGAGGTGATCTGGGAGTGGCTTCAGTTCCAACTTGGGTGGTTTCTCTATTGATGGCTTTGCTGGAGGAGTGACCCTTTTTTCTAGCTCAAGGGACTCGAACTGAGGTTCCCTTGACCAAAATCCTCGGCCTTCCAGTGCCATGACCCATTCGGCTAACCCTTCACCATCCATTTCTTCTAAATTCGTCAGACATGCCTCCAATGGAGCTTTTACAGTTAGGGTCATATCATCTTCTTACAGGATTACATCCACTGCTTCCACTAGAGAGCAATTAGCATATTCACTGGGTCTCCTCATAGATTGCTGAACATTGAATATGACTTCTTCATCGTTCAATCTCATTTTTAATTCCCCAGTTTCACAGTCGATCAGTGCTCTCCCCGTGGCTAAAAATGGTCTCCCTAAAATAAAGGGTATCTCCTCATCCACCTGACAATCCAAGATAACAAAGTCTGCAGGGAACACGAATTTCCCCACTTGTACCAACACATCATCAAGAATACCAATGGGCATCTTCACTGTGCGGTCAGCCAGCTGTAGCAGCACCGAAGTTGGCCTAGCTCTACCAATGCCCAGTTTGGTGTACACAGCCAGCGGCATCAGATTTATGCTGGCTCCCAAATCACACAACGCCTTTGCAAAGGCATAACTTCCAATTGTGCATGGAATAGTGAAGCTACCTGGGTTCGACATCTTTTGAGCCATCGGTTTTGCCACCACTGCGCTGTAGGTCTATGTTAAAGTTACAGTGGATAGATCCTGAAAATCAAACTTTCATGACATTAGATATTTCATCATCTTAGCATAACCGGGCATCTCCCTCAAGGCATCCATCAAAGGAATATTCAACTGAATTTGACGCAGCATCTCCATGAACTTCTTATATTGGTCTGCCTTCTTTTGTTTGACCAGTCTCTGAGGGAAGGGTGCAAGTATCACCCTTTGTGCATTGATTGCTGGCTTCTCTCTGTTAGAATTTTCTGGCACAAGAGGTGCCACCTGTTCTGTAACTTGCTCATTCATCTTTTCTTTGCCTTTTTCCTCCTAACTCTACTCAACCACCACTTCTGTAAGCTCTGTTGGTTCCTCTACCTCTAATTGAACTGGAGTGGCTGGTGTAGTGTCCTTGCTGGCTTGTGCAATTTCATGCTCTCTGTCTAAATCTCTCCCATTCCGAAGACTTACTGTCATCAGCTGATTCAGGTTTTGGTCCTTGGGGTTTATGTTTGTGTCTGCAGGCAAAGTTCCCTAAGGACGGTTGTTCAAAGCCATGGACAGCTGACCCAGTTGCGTTTATATTCTTTATGGTTGAATCATGCACTGCCAATTTTTCCTGCATTTTATTATTTGTCCCAATGAGTTGCTGAAGCATACCCCTGATTTCCACCATGTTGTTATCTTGCTGCTGAGGGGTGGTTGGTATGTCAATTGTTGCTGATTTTGCTGTGGATAGCCCTATGGTTTCTGATATGGTACTGGTACCAATTGGTTTTGAGGGTGCATACCCCCAGGCTGCTGCATATTAGGCCTGTACTGTTGATTTTGCTGCGGTCTCCACTGCTGTGCTCCTTGCCTCTGACCCCCATAGTTGTTGACATAATTCATATCTTCTCTTGCCCCTTGATTTTCACCTTCTCCGCTCCATGAACACACATAAGACTGATTAATACAAGATGTACACAGTCCCCCATTTGTTGTATCAACAACGTGCACCTGTTTTGTATCCATCTCATCAATCTTCTTTGTCAATATGCTCAACTGGGTCATGAGTGTGGCCATGTTCTCTGCATACGAATTATTTGGGTCAAGAGGAACTGAATGCACTATGGGTGCAAGTGTTGTACCTCTAGTCATCCACCCCGAATTTTGTGACATCTTATCGAGAAGGATTTTGCACTCAGTGAATGTTTTAAGTCTTTTGTTGGCACGGTTCAATGCCCTGAATGTTTTCTCGGGGTCTGAGAGTCCTTCTAGCAGTTCTCTAGTCCTCGAAGAACTTCTAGGCATATACCTGCTTTCCACAAGAGTTCAAACGTTAGAATTTCAATGAAAAGATTGGGTACAGAGAAAATTGACTACACTTAGAATTTTTGTACTTCTCTCAATTGTAATTGATAACACCGTTAACTCCCCGGCAACGGCGCCAAAATTTGATAATGCCAAACTATGCCTTATACAAAGACACACACGGACGTAACAAATATAATATGAGTAATTCTGCCTAGAGTCGAACCACGGAGAATTACCCTATCAATTACTTTTGACTGATTTACTAAATTCACAGAATCAATTTTCCCCAAACTTTGTAATTCACAATTGATGATATTTCTACCAACTAAAGTCTGAAAATAATTAACAGATAACAATTAACTATGCTTGCTGTGTAAATAGTTGGAATAAGGTCTAAGGTAATGGTTTTCCCCGTTGGTGATTTCCTTGGTTGTACGTTTCTTGTAGTGATGCCTTAGTTGTCCCTATCAATCAAGAACTCTCCGGCTATCATAAATCTCTCTCAAGCAATTATGATAATTTACTAGACGCACTCTCTCAAGTTACGCTAGCTAGATTCACATTACCGTTCTTTTAGATTGCACCCGAGATATAGTTATCTCTAATCCAATCTTTAAACCCTCGGTTATGACTCTCGTCTATACTCCAGGAGTGGTGTTGTTCAAACAACTACCTAAATATGCACTCTCTCTCAAGAAGATACATAATAAATAGGAACGGATAATTGAGGGCCCTTTCAACTAACCACAATCAAAACGTAGATGAACAAATAGAGATTAACAATCAATTCAAACTATATTAATATAACAACCAAGTCATCCCCAACGCGTTTCACCAAAAGCTTAGATTAGAGTATTTAGCTACTCATGACAACGTAAGAATAAACTACGAAAATATTCATAATGGAAAATTGCAAGAAAAATAGAAAATAAGAACTATGATGTTTTGGATGATCTCTCACACTTGTTCTTCTTGCCAAAATAATCTCAAAATAAGCTCCCTTTTCTTGGGCGGGTTTCCTACATCTTATAAGGGTTTTACAAAAGTTTTCCCGAATTAACACTTTGGCCCCTTAAATTTCTGGGCTGTGAACATGCCGCCGCGGCCGCGGCGTCGACCGCGGCACTGACCACGGAGAATACTGCCTCCAACCGCGGCGCGGATCGCGGTGGCAACCGCGGTGCGTGTGTTGGGCCTTTTTGTCTCCGCGTTCCTTCTCTTTTTGCTCTTTTGTGTTTGGGTACTTCTTGAGTGGGTGTTTTCTTCACGTTATTGCCTCTAAACACTTCATGTTGCTTCCTCACATCTTATATTCCCTGCGAAACCAAATAGCATTAATTAAAGTATTTTATTGGCAACTTACATTATAAAACAACAACAAAGCATGGGCAATTATGGTGTAAATAACAACTATATAGCCTATTATCAGAACGCGAAGAACAAACCCTCTGTGCACCTGAGACAGCAAAAACCTGCAATTTTTTCCTAAGTTCAAAACCTTCTGAAACTCACCCGAGCCCTGGGGGCTCCAAACCAAACATGCATACTAACTCAAAAACATCATATGAACTTATCTGTGCGATCAAATCGCCAAAATAACCTCTTAAACAATGAATTTAGTATAGAAATCTAAAAAAAATCTCAAAACTTTCAAAGTATCAATCTTCACAACTACGGGTTCGAATCACCTCAAACGACTTCCGTTTCTTACCAAATTCTCATCTTAAATCACATATAAGACCTGTACCGGACTCCGAAACCAAAATACGGATCCGATACCATCAAGTTTTAAACACATTTCATTTCCAAAAATTCATAAATATTCCAGAAAATAATTTTCTTTAAAAAATTCATTTCTCGAGCTTGGGACCTCGGAATTCGATTTCGGGCATACGCCCAAGTCCCATATTTTCCTACGGACCCTCCGAGACCATCAAATCACGGGTCCGGCTCCGTTTACCCAAAATATTGACCGAAGTCAACTTAAATTCATTTTAAAATCAAAATTCATCATTTTTCACAGATTTTCACATAATGGCTTTCCGGCTACGCGCCCGGACTGCGTACGCAAATTGAGGTGATGCTGAAAGAGGTTTTTAAGGCCTCGAAATACAGAACTTATTTTTAAAACAAGTGATGACCTTTTGGGTCATCACAGTAAGCATTTTACTTTTTTCTTTCAAATTCTTGACATTCTACAATTTGATTTTAAATACAAACAAAGACGATAAATTTTGATTATAACTCTAATGGAGTTTGAAAGAAATTATAACCACCCAAAGTGGTAAAAATTTTATGCCTTGCCATGATCAAATTCATGTATGATTGTGGGCAAAAAATTAAAAACCTGTCCCATTAAATTTGCTCCATTCTCATTCCCTTAAGAGAATGTGATAGCAGTATGTGATAAATCTGAAAGAAGACAAAATTATTACTATGAATATATCAATGGATATGGAAGTGGCAATAGATGAAATTATAATCGTCATCATTGTGACAATGAGAACAGTAAGGATTCTCAAAATAATCATTCACTTTGTGAAAGTAATATTTGTCATCAATTTGACATGAGATTTTGTAAAGCACATATAGATGATCATGGTCCATTCATGATGTGAATGTGACAACATCTGATTTATGAATACATATTCATTCTTGAAAGAATATGAACGTGCTATAGTGGTAGTGAATAAACTACACTCCCCTCTAGAAGGAGGTTTGAAATGAAATAAGAAAATAATTTCATTATTATGGCATGAACGGTCATTGATCACGTACCCATTGTGATTAGCCAAAATATTATGGCAGTGCGATTATTACATGGCAAAAGTAATAGAAGCAACATATCTTGCCTATAATATTTTGACCATGACCATAATGGTATAACTTTCTCTTTAAAAGAGATATTCACCACATGGATGTTGATGAATCTGTGGTAGTATAAAATTAATTGAGAGCTCTGAAAGAGCCAATTATTACTATTTTGGAGGAATACAATTGATTATCATGTCAATTTATTGTGTCATAGTAAGTCTCAAAGAAAATTATTCAGTTTCTAAAGTATTCGCGAGAGCAGTTGGTTATATTGAGACTATAAATAAAGGAAAGATTTAATATCTTCTATTACTACAACTTGTAGCGGGGTAATATTTATGTGAAAAGTTACCCGCTTTATTCTCCAGTTTGTACTACACAAATAAAAGAATGTCACAATAAAGTAGAAGTTTATTGATATAAAACTCATATCATAATAAACTTGGATTTTATTGATATCCAGTTGGCATAGCTGGTTTAGTCATATCAATTTAAGTATGATGTGCAAAAATAAAAGAGAATTCACATGGGTAAATATGAAAGAACTAGAAAATTCTTTACGAATTTTCTAATGTCGTTTGTTCTCATTAATTAATTGACCAACTAAAATTGGGATTGAATCCCATGAGTGCTGGAAATATTAAAGGTGAATATGAGCTCATTCACCTGCCACGTATACCACATAAGATGCATCTATGAGATAATTACATGTGCGATTATTATTAACCCGCAACATGGTATTTGCGAGGTAATTTGCTCAATAATTTGATTTAGAGCATAATTTTTAGATTTTTTATTCAAGATAGTTCATCTTGATAAGTTGGTTTATATCACAGTTGGTTTAACAAAATAATTTATTGAGTATCTCCACTTAATAGCTAAACAATTGCTTATGAGAACAAAGTTATCTATATCAATTTGATATACGTTATATACCAAAGTATATTATTTTCTCCCCTCACAAGTGGTTGAGGGTTAGGAACCAAATAATTCCATCTTATTATTATTGATATGCAGGGTATATTTTGATTAATACCATAACGCACAAAGATGGGTTCTCAAAGTTGAGGAAAATACGTTAATTTTCTAACATGAGGGGGAGACTGGATAAACAATTGGGAAAATGTTACGTGGAATGAATTATCATGTATATATCTAGATCCTAGAATAAGATAATATGAACTTGAAGTTCATAAAAAGATAATGCATTTGCAACATATTGCAAAACATGCCATCCGCATTTGCTGACCCAAAGAAAGTAACTATATTTTCATTGGAAATGCTCATATTAAGTCCTAGAAGGACAAAGTCAATAGTACACTTAAAGCGTATAGACAAATCGGTTTCAAATAAACTTCTTCATAAAGAAGATGAGCAAATGATCAAAATGATCATAATAAAGGAGGCAAGTGATCTAGAAGATCACATGACATAACACTTCATAAAATCTCAGGAGAGAATTAGGTACCTAAAAATATGAATGAAGAGATCTCTATGTTATGTATTTATGAAAAAATAAGGAGGTTGGAACCGATATAAAATGTTCGTCGACGACATCTATGATAGCACTAAATATATATGAGGATCTTAAGCCTGAAGAAACAATTCGAATAGAATTGGTTTCATATGAAATACATGTAGTTTTGGATATGTAGTTCAAAAATTTGAAAGTATAAAGTCAATGGTGTGTGCGACCTTTATCTATCTTATATGTCTAGGCATGACATAAAAATTTGATATGCATCTAAAGTCTATTTATATGGCTTATTTGACTATACTTATATGATAATCCCTAAAGGATTCAAATTGCTTAAAAGTATATGCAATTCTTGATCTTGAAATACCACATCATCAATGCAATTTATGCACAAATGTATTTTGCTATAACTATAAACATGATAATGTGATAGCGAGAATACCTCTATGGAGATATTGAAGAGCCATTCCATGGTATTTATGAAGACATTATATATCTATCACGAATGATGATTTCAAGGTGTAAAATATTCATTCAAGTTAATATGGCTGATTTATTTATCAAATCTCTACCAACGATCTCTTGGAGATGGTGCACAAGATTGGAATGTGAAGGCTCAAGGATGTGAATTGATGCTCTCATCAGGGGGAGTTAATGCGCGTTGTACTCTTTTTTCCTTACAGGGTTTTGTCCCACTGGGTTTTCCTTGCAAGGTTTTTAACGAGACAACCAAAAGGCGTATTATTAGATATGTGTACTCTTTTTCCTTCTCTAGAATTTTTTTCCCACTGGGTTTTATTTTAGTTAAGGTTTTAACAAGGCACATTATCTGTTGAATAGACATTCAAGGGGAGTGTTATAAATAGAATTTTATTTATGGTGGATGTCCATATTTAGAGAGATTCTAGGGTTTATTACTTGGTGGCTAAGTCACCATCTCCCTATAAATAAAGGGTTCTATTCCATTGTAAATCATCCCATATCAATAAGAATTCTCTCTCTCTACTTTGCACTGCAATACTCTTCTTCTTCTTTTATTATTTTATAATAATTATTATTATTAATGAAACTAAAGTGGTTTGAACTTACCATCATGGAGATAATGCTTCAAAGATAAGATTCAAAATTTGAACTTTATATGTTCAGAATTATACCATAACTCATTTAATTTATTGGATTTGAATGAATAATGATTTGGATTCAAAATTTATATTTTTTATTCATTTATTAAATTTTTTTATCGCGTACAAGATCCGAATCAATAATGCTGTTTCAGATCAAATGAACACATAACTCACACTCTACCTCCACCCCTTAGTGCTCTACCATACTGCTAAGAACAATAATCTTCTTGAGACTTATAATGTAGAACAGATACGTACAGATGAGCGTAATATATATTTCTTATTTTTTTTTCATACTTATTGTTTCATTCACGTATAATTTTATGAGCAAAATTCATTTATAGCCGTTCGGACTAAATTTATAACACCCACTAGCCCAAAGTTACATTATACACTGTATAGCCAAAAAGTTATTCTAGTGGCTAGCCACCGAACTCACAAGCACCTGATTGGCCGAAGGCAACACTAACAGTTTTTTTTGCACTTTCCCCATTTAGTTTTGCTTGGATTCTTTATATATATCTTCTGTTTCCTAATCTTGTAGTATTACTTCAGTAATTTTTTCTTCCTCGCATGACCTCTTTTCGGCGAATTTCTAAAGATGCTCTTTGTCGGCCAAAACTAATAGCCCAAAGAATTACATTATTTTCCATTTGCAAGAATTTTGGCTTTTATAATACTCCCATCAAAAACATTGGAAGTACGAATTAAGGAGAATTACATCAATCATCAATGTTGCCAATTGGCAAATTTTGAGAGGGACATACAACTGTTTAAATTATTTTCTTGACAAGCTATAATCTTTTTTGGCTTACATGATATCATCAAATTAGAAAGAAAAGGAAACTTATGAAAAGAAGAATACAATTCTGGTTATAACATTTTAAATCAGATATGCAATTGGTCATTTGATTTCTCAGTTATGTCTTGGTAAGTGGTAGGGTATAACCGTACAAGGGAGAAAGGTAGTGGAAGGTACATAGAAAATAGGTTGTCACTATTCGTAAAATATACAAAATAGACTCTTATTGTACAATTTATATACAATAGACTATCACTATACAAAAAATATACAAAATAGACTGTCACTATACAAAAAATATACAAATAAACTGTCACTATACAAAAAATATACAAAATAGATGTAACTATACAAAATAGATGTAACTATACAAAATATATATAAAAAAAACTGTCACTATACAAAAATACATGATACACTCCAAATACACTGTGTGCACACATTACACATACAAAATTGTATATAATTTATATACACTATGTTACATATTAGAAAATACACATGTATACAATTTTGATACATTATTCGGACAGATTATACATTCACGATACAAAATACATTTGGGGTACACAAATATATACACTTTAGATACACAAGCACACTCGAGATAGGCTCAATATACACCAAGGATACACTGTCATACTTAGGATACAATATTTATACATTGCAAAATAAATATTTATATATTGCGCCAGGCAGGGGTTGAACCTACAACCTTTAGCTTATGAAACAAACGCTCTATCCACTAAGCTACAAGCACTTATGTTGTCATACTTGTTCCTTTCGGCTATTATATGCAATACTTTTGGGCCGAAGGGCCATTTTTTGTAAATAGGACAAAACATGGGCTATTAAAATTTTGAGGGGCTATAGAGGGTAGTTTTCCCTAATTTTTTTATGCTGGCTGTTTTGTTGTAGAAAAATATGTTGTATTTAAATTATTGTAAGATTGTTTATAATATAATTTGAATTACTACCGAATCAACTCTCTTCATTAAACACTTAAAACATTTTTTTGTCTCTACAGCCAACTTTTCTTTAGAACAAATCATGTTATATTTTAATATATGTTGTCTATAATAACACTTTACTATAATAGCCAAAAAATATCGAAACAAACAAGACTGTTATAGAGAGCTTTACCGGTAAGTCGGTAACTTATTCACTTCAATAATGGCACTTCATTGTTTTTGTTCATTTTTCCGGTATGGAGTGGTGGATAGTACACATTAATATCACAAACAACACTCAGCTATCCTAGTTCAAAAATGAGAAGAGTACAAAACATCTTACTGAAGCTTTTGATAATAGAGCATTATAGCATTGGAAACCCCACTGAATAATTCTAACATGACAAAAGTGTCAAGACAAGGACAACAACTGTCCATGCCATTCTTGTATTGCAAAATGCCGCAAAGAAAGATCCACAACTACCTCAATATCCCACATTTAACTAACAATCAACAAATAGTTCTTGGAATTGAATCAAATCAAAGTTCTAGCAACATATCAAGATTCAGCACCATTTGATTCTCCTTCCATTGGTTCAGCTTGGGATGAGTCTTCTGTCTTCTCACCTTTCTTCGCTGCAAATCAAAGGGTGGATTGATATTGTGAGAATTCAAAACAATCGCCAGTTACAACTACGCCTCAATTCCAAGCAAGTTGCGATCGACTATAAAAATCGTCACTATTCAAGTCGCTCCATTTAAACTCATCTTCGTCCAGTATTATATAGAATAAAAATTATTAAAAAAAAACACTAGAGGAATTCTATGTATTCTCTAGTGGCATATAAATCTCTGAGAGGACTAAAACTCCTACAAGTTATTGGACATATAGTAACGTAGTAACATGACTAAACTTAATCTCAACTAATTGGTATCCATCTTTTTTATTCCATTAAAAGCAATTACTGGTTACATAGTCAAACATTATCCTTTATATTTCCATCATATTACTACATTTATCTCCAAGAACATGCTTGTTTCACGATGAATCAAACACTACATTAGTTCACTTATTTATCAAATGCTTTTTTAAACTCACCTTTCTTTTTCTTCCCGCCGCCTTTTTTCTTGCTTTTTACGGGAAGGGCTAACCAGGTCTTGATTTCAGGTTCATCCTCTATTGTCTTAGCAGGTTTCAGCTCCTGGAGAGTATGAGTTGTGATCCTATCTGACCCGTTAGGCATCAACAGCACTGTGAATTTTATGTGAGCAACCAAATCACCTGCACATCAACACAAGAAAAAAATAAAGGAAACGGACATTATCTGGAAATGGAGTTTCAGTAAGAATACAGGAACAATATACTGCTTAAGCATAGCATTGCATTAAAGAACTGAGAGCTAATATAGTGCGCACCAGGTTTCTCATGTAGAACAGGATAGGGCTGCAAAAGCTCATGGTTAACACATTCAACGAGTCCCAAACGAGCTCTCTTCTCCTCCAAATCCCTGTTCAAGTAAAGAAGAACAAGAAAACAACATGATAATCATGAAAATTTATTTCCCCTGCTTCAAAAAGAATGAACCAATTAATATTTCGGGAGTCAGACGTTGTTTTCTTTGACCATATATTTTGCAAATAGTTTTTAAATATTTTGAATTGTTAACTATTGCGGCTTATAATCCTTCTTACTATGTAGTTTCTAAATATGGAAATTTTATTTCAAAAAACTTAAAGAATCTATGTCCGAATTCATACCGAAAATTAGCCAATTTAACCCTCGTACTCTGAAAAGTTTCAAACAAATTCGAACAGAGGGAGTATATATTTACTACAGCATATTGTTACATGAGAAAATATTGAAAATCGCAACAACCTTGCTGTAAATGGCATGACAGGAAACTTCTGACTGATTTCACTGAAAATAAACCTCGACGCTTTCATCTTCAGGTTGTAGCTTTTATCTACAGCTCTCTTGTAGATGGTTGTTTGTTTCTCATCCAACAATTTTGGCTGCAAAATTTTGAGATTCAATTGAAAATATTTAGTCTCCATGTAATTTTCAGGCATCAAACATTGCAACATTTACCTTTCCTTCACCAGTGCTTGTTACAATGTCAATTGAATAGACCTCATTCTCCTCAAATTCTGCATCATCTACTCTCGTTTCAGGATTGGACACACTTAACACAACTTTGTTTCCGTCAATCACAAACTGCTTCATTTGATGGCTTAAAACACCCTCAACAATCTTGCAGTCATATGCCGCAGCAACTTTCTGAATAGCTTCTGTTACATCCGAGTTCTGCAACGCCAAAGAAACTGAACAATAAGTATTTAACAGAAACATTTAGAGCACTGAAACAAGCAGCTTAAAAAGAAACTACTGGGATGAATGTTGAAATAACAAGACATAAGAAAAGGCATGCAATCATCTTCACGCAATGAAGAGTTTTATAGCCTCTATTGAAGCTATATCCTGAACATTAATTCGCCTATTTTAGCATTTCAATACACTCAACCACGACCAACGCAGAAACACTTACTACTACACAGCATACTGAGGCAACTAGAAGACAATAGCAACAAAAGACATTTAACTACTACTTGTAACAATGAACACTTCGTTTAAGAACAATTTTACACTTCTATAACATACATAATGTATAACAATAAGTAACCACCAACTAACAGCAGAATATTAGCATATTAGGCTTTTTAAACTAATTACAACTAGAACTGATCTGCTTTCCAAGACTTGACTGAAAGGTCTTGCGTCTAGAGCTGGGATAAAGATTCAAGTCAAACAAACCTTTGGTGCAGAAGTCTATAAAGTTCACTTAAATGTTCAATTTTGACCTTCAGATCTACTTCTAGCACTAGCAGACTAGGAAAGATGGAAAAATAGACATCCCTTTCTAGTCTTGTAGGGATTCTAAGAGGCCAGTATACATCTTTTTGTGCAACTAAAACTATTTCTAACATAATAAAAAAAAGATTCTTTTGGTTGAAAGGGAATAACTGCTGCAGAAAGAAAAAAACATGGTGCCAAAACACTCTACCCTTTCCATTTTCGCAACTGTTGCCACAGTTTTTGACAAGGCACAAATCTGGCCACAGTTTTCCATCCCAAAACACTTGCTACTTTTTTCATGTTTTCTGTTATCTATATTTTTTTCTGGAAACAGATCAGAGTACAATCATTTATCTGTTTCTTTTAAAAAAAACAAATCAATTGTTTTCAGGGAAAAAAACTACTCCCTCCGTTTCAATTTATGTGAACCTATTTCCTTTTTAGTCCGTGCCAAAAAGAATGACCCCTTTCCTTATTTGGAAACAATTTACCTTTACACAAAGATTTATAGCCACACATAATATATGTGCCTCATTTTAGACCACAAGATCAAAAGTCTTCTCTCTTTCCTTAAACTCCGTGCCCAGTCAAATGAGTTCACATAAATTGAAACGGAGGGAGTACTACCTAAGATAAAAATTTCTTCTCCCAGTTAAAAGTATCTTTGAGGTTTCTGACTGTATTTTTCCATGCTTTTCACAACCGTTTACTGACAGTATTTAAGTAGCTAAGGGGCAGAGTGCTGATAAAGATGATAAGATTACATGGTTGAAAAAGCAGGTTAAAATATAGCATGTTTACTAAGCATAATAAGCAAATGTCCACATCAACAATTAGTGACTTTGATAAAACCTGCTAGGTTTCTTTCAATCAAAGAAATATATCAACAAAGTAGTGCAGTTAGGATGCTTCAAACAAAACAAAAAAAATTCGTAATTTCTTTTCTGACAAACATGTGAGAATCATCTACTAACTATGTCATAGCAGTTATGCTAAGCAAGTTTTGTAGCAAGAGATGTCATCAGACAAAAAGTAGAACAGCAAATATTGAAGATAATAACATCGTACATCATACATAAGATACTTAGCAGATCTAGAAGCATGGTTAACAATCTCCTTTCAGCTAAACTATGAGCAAACTGACACACTTATTCAGTAAAGGTGCTGGGATGAAAAATAATTACTACTAGTTAGCAGGAAAAATCATGGACGTATTATTTTGAAAGACCTAACCTTTGGAACAGAGAAAACTATTTTGTAATCAAAGATAAGCCATCAGCTTGGATCTCAAGCTTAGGTTGTCAGTAAACCATATCTGGGGTACATTTGGATAATTCAATGACCTTATCGACATATTCATTCAAACCCACCCAAAACTCATTGTCATACGGAAACTTGTAGATATGAAGGTATTCTTTGACGCATAACTGGGAAACCAATCCTTTCAAAGGATTAAACTAAGACTATTATTTTAGAACAATAGATAAGCATATTTTCAGGTTAACCACTGAACTAATCTTACAGTATTCTTTAGAAGCTGGTACTTGACCGACATTGATACTCACACAATCTCCATAAGGGAATGATATTGTTATCGCCAACCACTGCATATATGTGGTGGTATCTAAAGTTTGAAAAGCATGTCTCAACAAAAATACATTTCCCAATATCCTCCAATATATAACATCTAATACCCTAGCATTATGGTGTTTCACGGGATTCAGCCAATTATCTTGATCATGGAATATCATTGAGAAATAGGAATCCGGGTTATCAAAGGATTTCCTACGAATCCTTTCATGCATTATGTTAGGTACCAAGGAAAATCAATTTGGAGTGTTTTACCCCTAGATGTCTAGTTAACTGCTACGCCTTAATGCATTTCAGGAAGAACCATCTAGCTCTACTAGGTGCGAGGGGCATTTCACCCCTAACCACAACTCATCTGAGTCCTCTTTTTTATCTCCGATTACTCAATAATTTCCACAAGCATAAATTCTGGTTTTTATAGGACACAAACACATCCAGTAAAATAAGAACAGCCCCCACATTCAACCTAAACCCAATGTGAGTTTTTCTAGTTGGATTAAAGAAAGAGTTAGATTAAACATTACCTTCCTTCCTGGTCTCACAAGCCTCAGGGCAACTTCAGCAGCTGTATTAGCAGCCGCAACAACGTCAGCTGCTCTACCAGTAACTGGTCCTTCCTGGAGCACATGTGTATGACCAACTACAGCAATAAAGCCATCTATATGACACCCCATATCACTGCACAAAAATAACCATGTCTTACTCTTACAAACAGATCATCTAATTCCAGAATACAGTAAAAGACAGTTAAGTTATCAAAAACAACTTCATGTTCAGCAATAAACAATTAAATCTCATTGAATAAGAATTGGATCAGGAGATTTTTTTCATTTTTGGCCAGGCGGCCCAAAATAATTACAGGAGGCAGCTCAAATATACAAAACACATATACTGATTATGTATATGATATGTATATTATATATATACTTGTACTTAATATACAAAACATATACATTTGCCGGCTATTATTTTTTGGGTTGACCCAAAAATGTAATTATGCCAAATAAATAAACTGCACTTCTCTTTCCTACCATGCGCAATCATAAAAAAAATGATCAACTCAAAGTGCTCTAAATTATTACTTACATCTTCACCATATCACCTTCTTCCAATACTGTCTCGTCACTAGACAGTGGAGAAAAATGGCACACGGTATTGTTAACTGAAATGCAGGTGGGAAATGCCACACCCCTCTCGATTTTCTTCTTCACATTCTTGTACATATTCCCAGTTTGCCTGTACCAGAATTTACTCATCAAGCAGACATCTATACATCACATATATCACCAATTCTGAAATACAAAATCCGTTGAGAAGATATAAAGCGAGAAAAGTCCATACTCTTTGATGAAGGCATCTCCTTTTTCACAAAGATCAACTATCTTTGCTTTTGGCTTGCATTCAGACACCACCAACTGCAGAGCCTCTGCAAAATTAATAGCAAAATATCAAAATTTAAAACATTTTTTGTTTCATTTTATATGGCATCATTATTATATAGGTGTCAAACTGTTTTTTCTTCCTATCTTTACTTTTGATAAAATACTATTTGGGGTATAAATTGTTTTTCACTAGGCATTTTTTTTTCACATACTTCGAAAAATTTAATACAAAAGTTTGTAACTTTCTTTAATATCAAGAGATCCCCAAGGGTCAGCTGGTGCACAGTTCGATTCTCGGTGGATAATGGGCCCACCCCCTTCATCCTTTTCCACTTAAATATACCAGGCTTCTGCCTACAGCAGGGTTTGAACTCTGTGACGTTCTTATGCATCCTCTAAAATGCAAATTTTATCCAAAAATTTTAGAAATCAATGTCTGAATTGATACTGAAAATTGTTTTTCTCTCTTATTTCACAACCCAACATTCTTTCTGAAAGTGAATCACACATTAAATCAGCAATGATTTTCAGCTATCATATAACCCCAATAGATTAACCCCATTTTATAGGGGACAATTTCAATCCAAAAAATCAAAAGGGGTACATAAAAGACATGAAAAGATTCTATTTTTTAACAAGCAAGAAAGCAGAAAATGACCAAAAAAACTGAGAAAAACAACAAAAGGGGGTTGAAGGATATTAACTGTTAACAATTTCAGCAGCATTTTTGTACTTAGTAACAACCTCAGGACTTGTCAGATCCAACTCTTTCTCTTCTCTCTCGTCGTCCGACATAGTTATCAAATGTCTCAAGCTGAAAAATAAAAATTGAAACTGAAGTAAACAAAGGGGAATGAGAAAAGGGATAATGCTAGAAATAATGAAAAGGGTTATCGAAAATGCAAGGAACTAACCTGAGTATAAACTTAGGTTTTTGTTGATGGAATGAAAATGGAGGCAAACGGGATTTGAGCTAGGGTTTTGAGTTTAGCCAAAGTTATAGATATGATACGACTGTTTTCTTATTTTAGGAATTTATGTGTGGGTCTAATATGGGGAGACATGTGACAGCGTGGTGATTACGTGGCATGAGACGGGTCCCACTTAAGGATAAATTGGTCATGTGACGTGGCTGGTATTAGCTTTGTGGTCGATTATAAAATATAGGGCAAAGGGTCAAAATTGCCCCTCTACTATTTATTGGTTGGTTGAGCCACCCGTTACACTTTTCGGTCATTCTTGTCCCTGCCGTTAATGAAGTTTGACAAAATATCTCTAACCCTAACGTTTTGACACCGTGACAGCTGACCACATCAATTTTATCCAAGTCAGTTGTTATGTCAGCGGTCCCACCAAATTAAAACCCCATAACACTCATTTCATTCCCGTCTCCCACAAATTAGGGCTCAGACGACCCCAATCCTTTTCCTGAGTCTTGAATGTCGCAAGGAAGGTGTTCTTCCCAAATTAGATGTCGTTGTGGCATCTTTGCAAACCACTTCACTTCAATGATTCCATTAAATCTTGAAAGGCAATTTTTTAAATGTCTGAAGCCTAAGATTAGTGATTGTGTAACAAAAGCTCTAAATTATTATCTGTTTGCTCTAAATTATAGTCTAATAATAACGATCTTAGTTTCTTCTCTATTTTTTTTGTCTTCGACAGAATCGTTCTTGAGGTTATTTTGAACGGGGAAATGAAATCTCGTTGAACAGTGATTTGGTTACAACTAAAGATGTAACATCATTTTGGGAAGCGATTGAAAATTATAATGATAAATTGAAAGAAGAATTAATTTTTATGGAGGCTCTACACAAAGCTGAAGCTGCAAAAGTAATGAAATTAGAAGAGAAGGTTTTGAAGACGAGGATGATGTTTATGATCTCATGGGCACTTTTTGTTGGATTTGTTGCGGCGTCGATGATGAAGTGAATGTTGGTAAATCTTGTTGATGATACTAATGAATATGTTTTGTTGTCAGTTTTATTCCCGTTTGAAATTGGAAGAGAATGTGTTATGTATGTTATTTTGAACTGTTTACATTAGAGCTTGTAATCTTAGTTAATGTAATTCCAATATATTAGTTGTCAAAAATTAGTTAATGTAATTCCAATATATGAGCTTGCAACCGTTTACATTAGCGCTTATATTAGTTAATGTAATCTTAGAAGGTGTGGGTTCTTTTGTGATGAACCTGCTATATTATTAGTTGATGTTATGGGTTGATGAATATAACAGTTATGTCAGAAAATATGGACAGTTTCACAACACCATTTTGGTCCAAAATCTGGACAATTTCACAACAACATTTTGCTCCAAAATCTGGACAGTTTCACAACACCAGTTATGTCAAAATTTGGACAGTTTCACAAAATAACTTTTAAACAAAATCTGTATAGTTTCACAGATTGTATGTGTTTAAGGGGTTGGACAACATCTATAACTCATAAACGAACACTTAAACAATTCACTAACCTAATAGTTGTACAATGAATAATAATGAAAAGAACATTTAAATTCATAAACTCCCATTTCATTCATCACAACGGGATGTCACATTATCACCCCAAAAAGCTACACAAACAAGTGACAACATGACATCAAGTTTCCCCAACTAAACATTCAAACTACATTAAATCACAAACAAGAGGATGTCACATTATCACTCCAAAAACTTACACAACTAGGTGATAACATGACATCCGAGTGAACAGGTCACTAACTAAATAGCCACACAAGTTTAGCAAGTTTACTTGGCTAATAGTAATTACAGCACAACCAAAAATATACAAGCATAATAGAGTTTAGTAGATCTACATTCCAGAACACCAAATTTCTTTAAGTCTGCTTCTTCTCATTACCCTTCTTTGCTTTAAACTTGGCCAATCTTTGCTTGTTAAGTTGATTACCAGTAATAGCATTTTTTCCCTTCTATTGCAGCTTCTTTGGTGAGAATGGTAGGTTTGATGGCTCACTCACACCATTAGCATCACCAACAAATCCGATTGCCCGTGTTCTAATTATTGTACTTTGTAGTTGCCTCAATTGTAGCCTAGTCTTTGCCTCAGAGATACTTCTTGGCCTTATAGCTATTTCAGGCTCAGGCTTAGGCTCAGGCTCAAAGTCTGGGTAGTCGAAGTCTGGAATGGCACTGCAGTTTGGTTCTTTCCTCTGCACTGAAGGGGTTGGCATGAACAACAAGTTGCTAGATTAACTTGTTTGAGTAGGATGACTTGGCTGAGGGACCGACAAAGAAATTTTCTCAGCGGTGGCTTGTTGTGGCACTGGTGTAGGAGAGGGAGATTTGGGTTGTTCATCATCAGCTTCATCAAGTAAAGTTCTCTTCCTCTTTGTCTGCTTTCCCTTCTTTTTTCCTCCAATGGGCTGCTTTCCTTTAGAATGTTGTTAGTAAGATAGAAAGTTTTGATTAGATGTTGAAACATGAAGAATGATAGAAAAAGTTGTGGTTTTGATTACCTTTGCATACCCTCTAGCATTGTGTCCAGGTTCATCACACTTATTACATGTCATTACCCTCTCTTTTCTTGATTGAGACCATTGTCCTTGCCTATTAATTTCCTTATTTTTTTCTCATGTTCTCTTAACCTTTGGTCTCCCAGTCATCTTTACCAAAGGAGGTGGAGCCATGTATTGTGAAAGTTCAATTTTCCAGAACTTTTCTCCTCTTACTGGTTGTAACTTATGTGAATAAGTTTGGAGATAAGTCTCTTTGGTATGGTACCAATGAATATGACTTAGAGGGTCCACTCTCTTGTTCAATAATGCACATATTGCATGAGGACATGGAATGCCACAAAGATCACATGCCCTGCAGGTACATTTCTTTAACCTCAGATTCACAATGTGCATGTCACTACTTTCAGTCACCTCATATCCATGGTCTGTACTGCCATTAACATGACACTTCAATGCAATCCTCATGAATTGGTTGTACAACTCCATAGTTTTAGGACTATATTCATTTCCCCATGTCATCACCTCAGCTTCATGTTCATTAATTATATTCATCACCTTGATTCTAATATCCTCAAGCATCTTAATGATTGGCTTGTGCCTTGCTTGCAAGATCCATGCATTGAATGACTCAGTCAAGTTGTTGTCTACAGACTAATTCTTGCAAACAGTATCAAAGAATGCCCTACTCCAACATTTTGGTAGATACTTCAACAAATCCTCAACAACTTCTTTTCCATCATCATCTACTTGACTCATATTTTTTATCTGATCTTTGAAGTCCTCTTCATAAGTACTCCATGCAACCCACCATAGCAATTTTTCGAACTCACCAGAACTCCATCTCTTACACCAATTTGCTTCTATATGTCTTACACAAAATCTGAAGTGTGACTCTGGAAGAACAATTTGGATTGAGTCAATCAACCTCTACAAAAATCAGTAAATAAATCAGATAATAGTACAAAGAAACTAATAAAATAACTTAAATAACAGTACAAATATACAGTACATACCTTCTGCATATCTGATATAAATGTGATTCCTTCACCCATTTTGAGGTCTTGTGAAGTCTGTAGGTGACCTAAGAACCACTTCCAAGTAAATTTTGTTTCTTTGTCAACAATAGCCCAAGCCAATGGATAAAAATGATTGGCAGAATCTTGACCAACAGCCACCAACAGTTGACCTTTAGCCTTCCCTTTCAAAAATATTCCATCCAATCCAATGAAAGGTCTCAAGCCACTCTTAAACCCAGACTTTTAACTTGCTGCAAGTCATATCCATTTGCAAAAGAATACATGTTGATTATTTTCCTAGCTTCAGGTATATCTTTAAATGGCATTGACCTATCTAACTCTTTATAGTTAGTTAACTTATCATTGATGTCCCTCATCTTTTGTAAAAAAAAATTGCTCCAATTCATCAGAACTTAATTTAGAAGAATCAGAATCATTTTCCTCACTATCATTATCACTACAATCAGTAGCATCTTCAACTTCTACTGTGTGCGACTCACTGAGTGATTATATTAAGTACATCAATTGCTGGTTCACACTCTTCTATAGCAAACAAATTAATAATAGTAAAATGTTCATTAACAAAATCCAATAGAGTCCTAATCCCACTCTATTTCATAATATCTACTAGCATGGACCTTTACTATCAATTGTTGCACCTCTATATACCCAAACTTGGTATCAAATTCATCAACTAAATCGGCATAAGAGAGTAAGTCAGAGTCAAAACCTTTATTGATGTGCACATACTTCTCTTTATACATCGGACGTGGCTTACTAGTCCATTTCTCACCATGATGAAAAACTAACTCAACTAGCACTATCTATAAAAGGTTGTATAGTAACCATGAATAAAGTTATTACAGCCTACCATAGTAAATGCATAAAGAAGTAACAAAGACAAGAGGTATAGAAATAATAAATAATCATGTAAGGGAAAGCTTGAATAAACAAAACAGTTTGATGAATAAAGGGAATAAGAAAAGGTACAGAGGTAGATGAATAAAGAAACAAAATTGAATGATGTACATGATAAAGACACGGACACAAGCATGCATATGGGGGACCACATAATAAAGTGTCAAACTTAGAGTCTCACCTCAATAAAATAAGGACAAAACATATATGTAAGAGACCCACATGAGCATTATCTTCAAAGTAATTGCAGGTGAAACAGGGGACCAAATAACAACAAGTCAGCTATTAACAAATAGCTCAAATCCTTTTTCAGTTAAAAAACCCTAATCGACCCTTCTTTAAAAAAACAAAAAGGACTACACATACTTGAAATTCTAATGTGATGACCCAAAAGGTCATCACTTGTTTTAAAAATGAAATTTTGCATTCCGAGACTTTAAAAACCTCTTTTAGCATCACATCGATTTGCATGCGCAGTTCGGGCGCGTAGCTGGAAAGCTTATATGTGAAAATCTGACTATAAAATGAATTAATTTGACTTCGATTAACGTTTTGGGTAAATAGACTCAAACCTATGATTTGACGGTCCTAGAGGGCACGAGCCT